GAAAAGTAATATCTTTTATTAGATCATCCGATATAGTCAGGAAAAAGAGTCAAGCCTTGGGCACACAAAACCTCCTGAAAAACTTGTCTGACTTTTTCAATTACACTGATATTAACTCTACCTGCAAATCCTGCTTTGCTTTGGCTACTTCCAGCCACCAAGAATGTCGTCTTTACAAGTGATCACCTCTACATCTGAGGGGGGGTTTCACCCCCATTCTCCTGCGGTTTGCTGGAGTATTTTTTGCTGCCAGGCCAACAAGGTTAGAATAATTACTATATTTATCACACACTGCTTCATCTTACTTATTTATACCTTTTTACTACTTTCAGGCTGATTTGCCCAAAACCACACAGCAAAGCTGGAAGCACCAGGAGGCAAACTCTCACTCATGACTCCTGACCTTTGCTTTAACCACCTGGAAATATTTTCTACCTTTTAGGCCTAAAACTGTGATAAAAATCATGCTGACAACAGCAAAGGAGAATTGCTTAATATCCTTATATATTAGATGGTCTAAATCCAGGTCTTAACACACAGTCTCAAAAATAAGTCTTTAATTTTACTATTGGGAATGTATCACAGCCCTAGTAATTTTTACACAGAGGGAAGAGATTACAAGACATTCTTCTCCTCATATCGATGGATTACTTTGCTCTGTTCTCGACGACCTCAAAACCTTAAAGAGCCAATGACAAGTTAGCCAAACTCCTTTCAGGAATTACCTATCTTTAACTATTTCTGAAAACAAGACAAAATAACACAGCAAATGAAAATGTTTCTCTTTTGTTCAGTTGAACTGAGAACTGAAAATGTTTGGTTAATGATTTTGCCTACAAAAAAATAACATTAGGGAAAACTGCACAAGTTGCATTGCTCCAAAACCAAAGCAATGAAATAGGAATTTTTCTTCATTTATTTCATAGCTGAAACAATTAAGATTTCATAAAAATTTAAGTATTGTTTCAGTCAAATCAAATGACTATTTTTTGAGAAAAAACCCACCCCCCATCAAAACATATGCGACATTTCACCCACATAATTGCTTTTCTCCAGTGGTGATCTGCCAAAGAGTGATGCTAGGCTATGGGCAAAGTGATCCTATAGGATTGGAGGGCTCCTACAGCAACAGGGCAGAGTCCTGAAAACAGAAAAAAATCTCATTTTCTGTGTCCAAAACTACAGGAGGATATGTTTTGTGTAATATTTGTTAAAAAAAAGTTGTCACCTTCACATCTGCTGAGAAAACACTCTTCTTCCCAGTAGCCTCTTTGTAAGCCATGCAAATGGTGCTTTGCAGAGCTAGAGGCAGAGATGTACAGTGGTAACTATTTTTAGACAGCAAACTCTCATGGATTTTAAAATGGCTTTTGCATATGGAAAGTGAAAAAAAAAAAAAGAAATGCAAAGTATTTCAGGAAAAGGATAAAGTGATCCATAGATGGTTACAGAGCAGAAGGGAGGGGCTGGTGCTTTCATCTTCTGTTGACGGGGTTGCTAGCGGGAGCCTCAGCGCCTGCGGGGAGGGCACAGTACACGCCTGCCCTGTCCCGCCAGGTCCCCTGCCAGCCTCACCAAGTAGCTCCAGCCCAGCTCCCTCAGGGACAAGTGGGAAAACCACCGCGTCAAAATCCCTGCTCTTTCAGCTGCTTGATGGGATGGCATGGCAGCCTCCCACGCTCATCTAGCTGCCTCCACAGTCGCTTTTCCCCTGCACTAATCGCCTTGCCTGGCCTGCTGGATGCCCAGCGTGAGATGTATGAACGAGCAGAGAAGAAAGTTTGTGTTCCGAGACGACTCTGATGTGATAGATGGTGGCAAATCATGCTGCAACCCTCTGCAAAGAGAGGGCTTTCTGGCTCCCTCCTGAGAGGCAAAAAACCCCTGCTCAGTGAATGAGCACTGCACCCATTTACATACAGAGTTGGGTGCTCCAAGTCCCACAAAAATTTCTGCTGGCTTCCTTGGTAGCAGAAGCTCACTGGAGCAAAACCAGCACTGGAGACAGACATTGTCCTTAGCTGATTTTTGACTGAACTTGCTCAGTGGTGGGACTGCCCGGGAGCTCAGACCTCTGTCCTACCACACAGCAAAACCCAACGGCACCTTCTGTGGCTCTTAACGCTTCCCCAAACAGCTAGGTCACTTTAGGCCTATCTGTATAGGTCACCCAGACAGCAGCAGATGCATACGATGACGGTTTTATGTTGGCTGATGAAGTCATATGTCCTTGCAGAGTTATTTTATGTTTGTCTGCTTCCTTTGATGCACCGCTAACAAGGTGTTTCATTAGTCCTGGGGGGTGAAAAAGGACTGTGTTTATGTATATTTATCGCTCTTTTAGAGTGGGATGAAGGGTAACTGTAATGACCCCAGTAAACACTGGCTGCTCAGCCGGGCATTAACCCTAGCAAAATACAGGCAATCGCAATGGGATTCAATTGAAAAGAACTAAAGAATATGAATATAATTAATGCCAGTCAAAACGGTCTTATGGAAAGTAGATCTTGTCAGACTAACCTGATTATCATTCTTTGATGAGATTATAGGTTCACTTGAAAAAGTCGGGTTGAACAGATGTAATATACCTAGACTCCTGAAAGGCATTTAACTTACTACCATAAGTTATTGGATTGCAAAAGCAGAAGCACACAACATCAGTAGACTAGAGTATACATCGATTAAGAACCTGCTACTGACATCTCAAGTATTTGTCATTGGGGGAATCATCACGAATAGATGTGTTTCTAGCAGGGCTCAACAGGGACTGACAGCAGCCTCAATACCATTCAACATTCCTGACCAGAATCACGAAGTTAATTTAAAAACAATAAAAAAAAAATAAATCTGGATGATACAGAAATTGGTGAACCAGTGAACAGTGGGACAACAGGGCAGCTAAAGCAATCTGGATCACTTAGTACACGAACACAGCCAAATACAAAGTAGGGATGTCTAGGAAGAAATGCGCACAGAAAGAGAAGCTCAGCTGCACGACCGATGGCCAAATGACCCGGACAACCGTGGGTGGGAACAAAGAGACTATTCACCTTCGCTCAGGCAGATATTGCACGTATTTCCAGTGCCAAATTTTAAAGACATGAGTAGGGGGGAGAAAAGAACTACAAGAAGGATACAACTCACTTGGGGAGTTTTAAACAGCAATGTTTGCTTAGTTTATCTAAGATGGAAATTAAATCAACTTTCAACCTGTAAGTACCTTCATCCAGAAAAAGCACCCCCTCCTGTACAGAACTTCATTTAGTGGAGCAAAGCATGTAAGTCAATGACTAGATGCTGATTTCAGATAGGCAGGCAGGGAACTGGGCACACATTTTCTTCAGTGTAATTAACCACTGGAGTCAAGCATCAGGGAAGGAGGTAGAGCCACTGCTTACCAGAGTCTCTAACTCAGGACTGAAGGCCTTCTGAGATACTACTTGAGTCAAATGTAAGTTATGCTTTAGTCAAAGCTGAAAAGATTATGAGGTTCAATACAGGTGATTGAATGAAAGCTGTAGGTCAGATTATAGACCTTAATGATAATTTTTGGTCTTATACACCTGAAACCAGGACCCAACAGGAGTTGCAGTCCACATGATTCCCTTTGTCACACAGTGTTTCCACGCAATGTATGAACCACTACTGAACCTGGTGAGAATGTATGAGTGATGGTGACTTCAGATTTTGGGAGGGGTGGCAGAAATATCCCAAATTCTGGGTTTTCTCTGCAATGAACAATGTTGGTTATGGGATTTGCTGGTACCCCTAGGGACCAATGCACAAATGAAAACCACCGTCTAATACAAATAATTCATAATACATCATTGACAGATGGGGAGAAGAATTATGAATACTGCTGCTTGGTTTTTGCTCAGATTTTGCAACTGCACCTACATATTTGGGCAATAGCTGGTTGCTGCCTTCTTCCCTTCTGCATAGTTAGCATCTTTGGAGTATTTTCTCTCTTGTAGCCCATGCTAAATTACCTGCACTTTTCTGCTATTTAGGGATTAGTTCAAATAACTTTGCATGGATACCCTAAGGACCTCAAACTTTAGCTAGCAAAGGTGCAGCTCCCTCACATTTATAGATGTGTCAGATGTATGCTGTATACTTATTTTCCTTGCTAAATTCCAGTTTGCTTTTAGTATTATTGAGGTGTGGTTTTGCTTGTGCTTAAAGTTTAGAGGATATGGGTCCAAGATACCTTAACAGAGAGAAGTCCTAAGTTTAAAGGGGCAAGAGAAGTTTTTCACAGAGGGGGTTTCTATTAGATGGGGTTTTTCTGTCTGCTTTCTCTCCCCCAGTGGAAGCTTGGTATTGCTGAACTGGAGAAGTTGTTGCCAAGCTTTTTTTTTCAGGTACCATCTGAAGATGAATGGCAGGAGATGTATTTATCCTTCTCACTGACCTAACAGCAGTTTCAGAGATACTGTTCAAGGTAAAAGCCAAATCTATTTTTGTTAAAAGTACGGATGTAACTTTGAGTAGTTTCTTTAAGTAACCAAAAAAAGGAGCCCCCAAAGGGAATTAAGTTTATAAGCTGCAACATCACTTAAAGAACAATACAGATAATTAGGTATAAAACGATATGTTTGAAATTACCAGGACAAATCACCTGATGTTTGGAATTTGGGATTACAAGTACATCCCATCCTGAACACAGCTCATTAGTCTAGGACTCACAATTTGTATGGATGAGTATCAGCAGATAATTTTCCAGTGGGAACAGCTATAGGAATTTTAGACGGAGACAAATTTCAGTGTTTGATTACTATAACTACAACCTTAAAAGACAACTAGAACTTAAGCTATTATTACCCAAACTGGTTTTATCACTGACTGACAATATTATATGGCAGGGGATTATTTACCTGGAATGCTCTCCAATTTTCTACGAAGTTCCTCGTTTTCTTGTTGCAATGAAATTACCTCCTGCTCTAGCTCTTGACACCGAGGGCAGTAACCTTCTTCCTCTTCCTCCTCTTCCTCCTCTGGAAGTGTAGAAGATGATGGGTGACCATGAGATTCAGATGTTGCTGGAGATGTCCATCCACCTAAAGTGTGTACTGGAGAGGTTGAAAGTGGATCCACATCTGCCAAATGGCTAAAATCATTTACTGATGAGGTGTTCTGAGAAGGGAAGCTCCCAGAAAGCAGGTAGTTCTGAAGGGAATCGGTAAAAACTCTCAGAAAGGCTGAGGTTTGTTGTTTCTTTTGCATATACTGCATCTCTATGTCTAAAATGTCTGACGTCTGACTATGTACCATTTTCCCAAGCTGACATTGCTCTTGTCTTTCACTATAATTTGGGTTTTCCTGCTTTATACAAGAAATCATGGACTGAGAGTGATTGCTGTCCAGTAGTTTTCCACCACAATTTAAGAGACTTAGAACCCGGCTGCATTGTTGGGCAAAGGCATCCAGAATCATTCGACTCTCTGAAACAAAAGAAAAGATGAATCACAGAAACCTAATGCAAAAGGTTATGCCAAGCAGTAGCAGCTAGATGAATGTACACAATCGTTTACAGTAGCATGCATTTTATTTCTGAACACATTAAAATTACGGCTTCTGCTTTAATACTTCTGCAACACTGTGATTTAAAACAATCCCGACTTTGCTTCTATTTTGAGAGTGCCCTTGTGCCCTTGCTGTTAATCAGAAGTGCATTGTGATGATAGGCACTGCTTACTGCCATGTGCTTTCAGAGGGATTAAGACAGGAAAATGGGGAAGAAAATACAAATTCCATCCAATCTGCTACAAGTAAAGGTTCAAGTAAGTACTCCTCTGGAAGCCGCTTTCAAGCTGCTGGTGGGCATTGCCTGTACATGTTTACAGAACTTTGCACTACACCTCCTTACTATGCCCTGTTCCTCTCCAACAAGGCTTGCAAGCTTGACTTTTTCTCCCTTTAATCTTTGTTGCATTTGCTTGACATTGGGTGAGGGACACTTCACGTGACCCACCTCCAGCTCTATGGACTTTGCTTCTGTTCCTTTTGCTTTAGGTTCCAGATATGTCCAAGAACAACTCAAGAGTGATAAGCACAAACCCATCTTCTTACACCAAGGTTAGGCATCAAATGTGCAATGTGACGCTCCTCCGCTCAGAGGATGATTTTTTCCTGTCCTGCTGACCTCCTATGAGCTTGTGGGTAGGCCAATATCATGCAGAGGAGAGCAGTGCAGAGTTCTTCAAGCTGCTCTGGGTATAATCAGGAAATTCCATGTGGGGCTGTGCAGCAGTTGACAGAGGCAGCAGCTTGGATCTGGAAGTAGGCTAAGGATGCCACGCCGTACCTAGTCAGCCTTGCCTCTAATGACAGGAGGTATCACGTCTCATGGAGCAACAGCAGCTACAACCTAAACCTCCACAGCAGGATGGTTCACTTCTGGGTGTCTATGTATGTAGAGTCAAGCTGCTGTAATGGTTCTTGGACCCAGATGAAAAATGACCAAGACATCTGGCTCTAATTTACAGTATGACCTGTTAGGTTCCCCAATAAAAATAATGCCTTTTTCAAATTTTTTAGCTTATTCATAGCTGAGATCCTCTAGGTGCCTAAAAAGATGTAACTAACATTTTGCATGAGATTTAAAACAAAAAAAAAAAAAAAGACTGTTAGGTTTAAGCGCTGCCAATTTTGGAGAGCTCTTCTCAGGCAGGCTTGACTTTTAGAAAGTGACAAATGCATTTACTTTTAAAAAGGCAACTTGCTACAGATGCATGAGACTATGCACCTCAGACCTTCATCTATCTTAACTTCATCACTAGAGACGAAAACGTAGCCTCGTCACACTGATAATACGTAAAGAACAGAAACATTCAGAATTCAGTCCTTTAAGAGGTGGCATTCCTCACGGAACTTCCCCATGATCCAGAAGATATGCCTTCTGGTGGAAAATGTACTTCATACTGAGGTTGGTACAGCTGGCCTGAAGAGTATTTGAAACACCACTAATTTGCATTTTTACCATCCTCCAGAACTCTGCAAAGAGGGCAAGGCTGAAGCAGCACACAACTGCTTTCAGTCACAAACGCAGCCCGAGGAGACCTCCCCGGCCCAAAACCCAAGGGTGTCATCTCCCGAGGACTCAACCATGAGAACAGGGACGTGAGGTGGACAGAGTAAGCAAAGCCGCAGTACTGGGAGACGAGGCTGCGCAGGGCCACGCAGGCAGAGCCCTCCGGCATGCGAAGGATCGGGGTGGCCCCAAGGCCACTGATGGCATCCTGGCAATCAGTCTCCTGCGCTAACGAGTCGTACCACACCCCAGCTTTGCACATGGGCTCAGACAAACCAGGGCAGGTTGATCCAAAACGTTAAGCAACGCCCTCTGTCCACATTACAAACTGAAAAGGGCAGGAACACGCAGGCGCTGCTGCCCACGTTGCAGGTGGGTGCCGGGTGCTCTGCAGCCTCCATACCTGCTGTCCCTCCTTCCCTTTTACTGCATTAACCTACAGCCAGCTGTCTTTAACCCTTACGATGCAAGCGCAAAATAACCAGGCACAACCAAGGCAATACAAATCAAAAGGATGGAACCCCGGTGACATTGCAGCTTTCTAGCTGGGACCTACCGATAAACTGAAAGAAAATCAAGAAACTCAAGCATCACTAACAACCTTAAGTTGTGCTTTCTTTGCCTTATTTCTTTACTTCCCACATTTTCCCTTCAAAATTATTACAGGATGATATTGATTGGAACTTTGCAATCCTACTACAGAGCAGTTTTTCATTCATTTTAATCCTATAATCCGATTCCAGACCTGAAGTCATATTTACTGTTTGTATTTTAATCATTATGGTCCCTGTTGACAAAACAGTTACTCATTCTTTGCGTATCCTTGTTGCAAGGGGACAAAATATGAATGAAACTACTGAAAAGAGATTAGATTAGTATAAGATATGTTATTCTAATATTATGGTTTCTCCTAAAATATGGCAAAAAGTAACCTAACATTTCAAATACCAGTTCTGAAGAATGCTATAATACAAACTAACATCAGTAAAGATAAAATTAATGATTAGTTTTGTTGTAAAATTGAATGCATTAGGCACATTCACTGTGATAATGGCTTAAAATGTAACTGAAATTTTATACAGAAATGACAGTATTGATTTAATCTTCAGTTCAGTATCAGATCTACTACAAAGACACAATAACAGCAATTACCGGGTTTTTCTTAACTTTAACCCATACTCAAAGATATAAAAATGAAAGTCACGACAAGGCAGGGCTATTTTGAAATGCCAGTAGAAAGATTCACAAATGCTTTTTTTTGCGGGTACCACTGGGCAGCAATAGTGAGGGATGCTCTCAGCACACATTCTGGAAACATCTGGCTCTGTGCCCAAGCAGGTACCACTTTGATGCGACTTCTACACCAGTAATGGTACACGTACCTACAGTCTGAACAACCCTAAATGAGAACGATAACTATGGTTATTTCTTGTGATGGAGAAAAAATAAAAACAAATGCTGCCTATTTAGCATATATCACAGAAATTGGGATTTCAGCTTTTATGGACTGACTGTAATTAGAAATGCAAGCACTGTGCAATGTCTAATCACTAAGAAATGACAAAAAGTTGTTTTTATGTGAACACTACTGAATAATCACTGATCTATGATTCTTAATTGATTTAATGTAATGTATATATTTTCTAGGAAAGGAGGATTCTGTTGAAATGACTGTATTGGACTAAAACAGTGCAAACAGTTTATTAAAGTCTTATTGTGATATTCCTTTTCCTTATTACGATGCTCACCAACCATGTAATTCTAATGTCTCAGACCCCGCAGTCTTAGTCTTACAGAACTTCTATTGACTTTAACTAGACTTTTGCCTGAAGGTGGACTTGCCAGATCAGGCGCATAAAATGCTAATAGATCAGGATTAAATTGCTAAAAGTATTCCTAACTAGATTATTTGAGAGTGCAAGCAACCAGAAGATGCTATCACATGGCAAATCAGGTACCAACTCCCAGACACAGCATTCATCTTTACTTCTTTTTCTCACTGACGCTGAACTATGGGGCTTCTTAGCTATCCAACTGCCAGACTAAAACCAAGGGTTTTAGTAAGAGCAAACTTCTGAAACTCAACCTGACGACTTACACTGATGCATCAGAAAAGATGTCTGGAAAGACTGGCAGGTATAACATCAGCTGTTCCTACACCTGAGGATCTTTTCAATACTTGCACCAGACAGCTTTATTAATAAGGCATTGTGTTGGGTCTCAATGGCTCTGGATTCAGGTCATGGCTTTTCCATAGTTTCCTTTGTAATCTTGGGCAGCTGGTTTAAAAAGTCATCTTTGTAACTATAGAGCGGT